ATTCCCTAAAGTAGTGAAACTGGGAACAACTCTACAAACAAAAAATGCTTTGCTCCTGTTACTCCTTTCCTAAATCATTGCTTTGCTCCTGTTTTTCCTTTGCTCAAGAAGTTTCAATTGCCCCTAACTCCTTTGCTTAGGACTATGACCTCTTGAATTTTTGACCATGCAATTCCAGTTAGGAAAAAAAAAAAAAAATTATCTATCTATCTATCTGTCTATCTATCTATCTATCTATCTATGAATGAAACATGTATAATTCTCTCTAAATTATACATGTGTAGCTACTGGGTGTGTATAGTTAATATTGTTTTATTTGTTTATCATATGACTTTATATTTAGGAAAATAAATTTTAAAAATTTGTTTTTATAATTGCTTCCTCAATGGTTCATCATTTGCAAATAGATCACAACTCATATTTTGGAGATGACTGACTCAGAGAATAAACTTTAAACCCTGCATCCTTGCGATCTAGTACCAGAATGAGGGCTCATCTTTCTCTTTCCTACCAATTTTCCATACTACTTCTCTCCATAATCCCTTTGTACCACACCATCTAGTTACAAATTCTTTTAGTTTGAGTTGAATTTCTTTTGTATAGTTTTCTTCAACATTTTAATGATTATAGCTTTAAGAAAAAAAGTATATAGAAAAATTATTGAATATCTTTAATAAATTAATTGTGTTGCAAAGATAATTCAGAGCTCTCCATGAAGCTTACTTGGCTACTTTTACATGTATATTTAATGTTCTTCTAAATATTCTCTCTCTTGAGAATTTTGCACTTTGACTTGCAAAAAATATTCTTCCTTCTTTAGCAATTCTCTTTCTCTTTCTTCTCTTTTTCTTCCATTCTTTATTCCTTAATTCAAACATATGCACATTCACTCAGTTAAAATTTAAAGGTAAACATTCTACTAGTACTTACATAAGCCAGGAGCAATTAAATGCCAACTAGATTGGCTTGGCATAGTTTCACATCATAGAATCACAAAAATGTATGCAATAGAAAAAGTAATATGCGGTATTTTGAAAATATTATGCAATAAACACTATGCTGCAAGTTTTTGTTTGCTTATCATGTGATATTTATGTTTAGGAAAAGAAATATGAGCTGTTTTTAGATATTTTCATGATTTAACTTTGAAACAAAAGATTTCCTACTAGAAATAATTTCCATGTTTTTAATCATTTACTTTCCTTTTTTCAGGGATTACTCCATTCAGCAGTCTGTTCTGCAGAGGCTGAAAACCATTGTTACAGATATTTTGCTCTGATTTTCAGTTATTAAGGTGAGAGAGTAAGTCTCATCCCTATTTTTCAATCATGGCTGGTAGCAGAAGTCCCTGATTTATTTCTGCATTTGTTTTAGTTTAAAAAATTTGAAGAGAGCAATTCCTGATTCACACAGAACTCTAGTTACAGAACTATTGTATTAGTCCATTCGCACATTGCTAGAAACAACTACCCGAGACTGGGTAATTTATAAAGAAAAGAGATTTAATTGATGCATGATTCCACAGGCTGTAAATGAAGCATAGCTGGGGAGGTCTCAGGAAACTTAGAATCATGGCAGAGGGTGAAGGGAAAGCAAGCATGTCCTACATGGCTGGAGTGGGAGGAAGAGAGCAAAGGGGGAGGTACTACATACTTCTAATTGACCAGATTTCCTGAGAACTCACTCACTATCACAAGAACAGCAAAAGGGCAATCCACCCCCATGATCCAATCACTTCCTACCAGGCCCCTTCTCCAATACTGGGGATTGACTATAATTCAACATGAAATTTGGGCAGGGACACAAATCCAAACCATACCACTTCAAGCCTGGCTCCTCCCAAATCTCATGTCCTTCTCATATTGCAAAATACAATCAGCCCTTCTCAGCAGTCCCCTAAGTCTTAATTCATTTCAGCATTAATTCAGAAATCCACAGTCCAAAGTCTCCTGAGACAAGGCAAGTCCCTTTCACCTGTGAGAGAATCAGCCTGTCCTTTGAAGCTTTGAGGCCAGGCATTGACCTCTCTTCAGCTGTGAAAGTCCCTGATGGCATTATCTTCTAATCAAAGGCTGTTTTGTCTACATAGAAAATCTGTTGTTTAATGTAGCTACAATTCATCAAAGCTCTTAGCTGGATCTTCTGGATAGGTTTCTGCAGTTTCTGTATCAGCACTTGCCTCTGCACCTTGCACTTTCACGTTCTGGAGATGGCTTCTTTCTATAAGCCTCATGAACCAACCTCTGCTAGTTTCAATTTTTTCTTCATCAGCTTTCTGATCTCTTTCTTTCAGCCTTCACAGAATTGAAGAGAGAGTCTTCTTCTGGATTAGGTTTTGGCTTAAGGAAATCTGGCTTATTTGACCTTCTGTCTAGACCATTCAGAATTTCTCCACATCAGCAATAGGAGTTTTTCACTTTCTTATCATTTGTATGTTTGCTGGAGGAGCACTTTTAGTTTTCTTCAATAACTTTTTCTTTACATTCACAAATTGTCTGTTTTTGGCACACAGGACTTAGCTTTTGGCTTATCTTGGCTTTTGATATACCCTCCTCACTAAGCTTAATAATTTATAGCTTTTGCTTTAAAGTGAGAGATATGAGATTCTTCCTTCCATTTGAATATTTAGAGGTTATTGTAGGGTTATTAACTTACCCAATTTCCATAATAATTTTTTCTCAGGTAATAGGGAGGCCTGAGGAGATGGAGAAAGATGGGAATGTCCAGTTGGTAGAGCAGTCAGGATACACAGAACGTTTACTGATTAAGTTTGCCGTCTTATATGTTGTGGGCACAGTTTGGGTTCCCCAGTACACTTACAATACAATTGCAATAATAGCATGAAAGATCACTGATGACAGATCACCATAACAGATAAATTAATTAAAAAAAAAAAAGCTTTGAAGTACTGTGGGAATTACCAAAATGTGACACAGAGACACAAAGTGAGGACATGCTATTAGAAAAAGAACACCGATAGACTTGCTGGATGCAGAATTTCTATAACCTTCAATTTGTAAAAAAAATAATAATAGTAATAATAATAATACAAAGTGCAACAAAATGAGGTATGTCTATGTTTTTATGTTACATACCAAGCACTTGGTGGGGTGCATGCCACACAGGAAATGGTCATATATTATTGGGGAATAAATGAACAAAATAATCACATAAAATATGCTATTTATTATGATTTATATTGCCTTTACTTTCTATTAGAACTATCACAGAATTTTGGCCATTTTTCTAAATTGAAAGTACTTGAAGGGGAGGAACATTCCTATTATACCTTTGAATCATTGAATTTCTGTCTTCACCCGTATACAGGAAGTATTTAGATTGGTGCAAAAGTAACTGTGGTTTTTGCCAATGAAAGTAAGGCCAAAAATTGTAACTACTTTTGCACCAACCTAATACATATAAAATGTTACGACTGAATGGTGTCCAAGCAACTCACTCTGCAGATGAGGTAAGTAGGGCCAGGGAATACAAACTAGTTGTAATAATATTAGGTTGCCTGAGTCCTGTCCTAGCTCCCATTCACTCATTCAGCAAAGAATTATGAACTCCTATTTTTGTCTACTATTTTCAAAGTTAAAATTATCAATGATTCTGTAATGGGTAATTGCTAGTCATGGTTTGATCATCTGGATTGACCTTTCAAATTTAAAGATATCACTGTACAGAATTATATTCAGTATCATATTCAGCATGCTGACTAATTTTGTTTGGGTTGATAAAGTTTAATACTTTAGAAGAAAGGAGATTTCTAATGAAGCTTACATTATGTAAACTCTAGTTAGGTCAAATTTTATTAAGTTTATGTTAATTATGACCTTTATTGGAATACCACCTTATCCTTAAAATAATTGTTTTCAAAAGCATGAGAAAACAGGTTCCAGCAACTTTTTAAGAAAAAAATGTCTCCATTAATCAACCTTATCTCTTTCTAGATCTTTTTGAGAAAATGTCTCTTAGAACAAAGATGAACTTAAGTAGTGACAATTAATAAACTAGATGTTAAAAAGTGGTGGCAGAGACCTTAGAAATGTAAAGAAAACAGTAGAAAATCTTATATGCCAAGGAAATTGGGAAGCTGCATTGCTGACAGAGGCAACAGCTGGATAGGAGTCCAAAGGGAAGGAGGCTTGGTCCTAATATTGGCTACGATTGATCTAATGACTTAATATTGGCTTGAGAATTGATGTTTGTGACTGATCATTGATCTTTCCACTTCACAGTGTATTCTTGAGAGTAATATATGGTTCTTAATCATCTAAGTATTCATAATATGTGGCTCTGCATTAATAAATAATTTAATGAATGAATCAATGAATGAATGGACAATAATATGAAAATGCATAGTTTTTTTCCTATAGGAGCCATTAAATTTTGAGTCAGCTTCCATTATGTACATACGCAACCTGAAGAGTAGTTTCAGTAACATGTTAAAAGTAAATGTTGGCCAGGCATGGTGGCTCACACCTGTAATCCCAGTACATTGGGAGACCAAAGTGATTATTGTATCACAGCCTTAGACATATTCAATTATTTGTATGGTTCAAAATAAGAATCAAAGGGTTAACAGTCTTGTTCAGAACACTTTAGATTCATATTAGAAGGAAATATTACTGTATTCTTTATGTTACTCACATTCATTCAAATGCTTTAAAATGGGAAATATTAGCAGAATGGCAAATCACAACTAACAAACCTTCGATGTGCAAGAAGGAGAGATAGGTTTTAGGTAAATTCTTTATTTTTTCCTAAAGGAAAGCAAAATGAATTGTTTTAACAATGATTAAATCAAGAGATAGATGAATAGCACTATTATTTAGAATTTGGGTGAGCCTAATGATGTTACTCTTGGGAATGGACCTAGAGGTTAGGCCAGAGATTTCAGTGTCTGTTACTCTGTTACTTGTCATTTGAATGCCCCCTCCTCCCCGAACAGGCACGTATTATGCTTTCAATTGTGAAACTATTAATGGTTTTTACATGCCAAAGAGTTTTGAATTGTATGTCTTAACTAATAAACAAAAACATTTTGATGTTGGCAAAATCCTTTAGCAACATGTAAACTCACCCATGTTTGGACAAATCTCAGAAAACTGGCATCCAGCTACTTCCAACTACAAAAAGAAACAGGATGGAAAAGAAAAAAAAAAAAAAAGCTCTGCTGGGCACTGCATTAAACCAACTTATCCTAAAATATGTATTTATTATCACTGTCCCAAATAATTCCTAAAACTCTAATTCTTAATATAGAACTCTATTAAAAGGCAATCAAAATGAAGTAAAATGATTTAACTCCATCAACAATGATCCTCTATTTTGTGGTCATTGGTTATTATTCTGGATGTACTATTTATCCAATAGTAATTTTTAAATTGACTATTATATGCACAGCTTGGGGGTTTGCATGTTTGAGGCTCAAGGGGGTATGGATACTGGTGTGTGTGTGTGTGTGTGTGTGTGTGTGTGTGTGTGTGTATAGCATGGAATTCTAAGTATATAGTTCATTAATCTATTTTCTTCAACTTCCTGTTAACAATTCTATCATAATTTAATGAAGATGTAAATAATTCCTTTAAAAAATGAGAATGCCAATTTTGAGCTCATGCAATACCAGGGATTTGGCATCTGAACAGGAGGCTTTCTACCACCAGCGTGTTGCTCTCCTGTAATCACTTTACCTTCATCAGCAAGTGTTTTTAGAGAGTCAGTGACCCATTGATAGGTGCACTCCTGGTGTATGCAGCACTATTGTTTAACACTGTGAAATTCTGCCTGCCAGACGGTGCCACAGGGAAACAGCATCACTGGCAGGTGGCTGGTTTGCCTTGATGTTTCAATACCTATTTCTAGAGAAGATTCTTTCCCCTATTTTTATGTTTTCTCTGCCTTCCCAAGAGCCTTCCACTGATGTCATGAACCAGAGTTCATTTCTGTCAGTTCTCAGGTTGAGACCCCATCACAGAGTAATGTCCAAACATGAGAAATTGTGATAATTAAACTTCTTTTTTTTCCTTTGCACAGAATAACTAATTGTAAAAATTGGCAGTCAGCCTGCCATTTGAAAGTGAAGAAAACATCTTGTTTTAACATCTGAGCAGGGATTTTTTTTTGTAATCTGTAAACAATTGGACCATATGTAGTGTGATGGGAAACATGAAGGCTGTGATAGAACATCATTGAGGGAACCTTGTGTTTAATCACTGTTCTTTGATTCACTGAAATAGAAATTAGCTTTTTAAGTTCTGGGTTTTATCATGATTTTAAAGAGACAGTTTTTCTTAAAGTATCAGACCATACTGACAATTTACCAAGTGATGACCAAGAGAGGAAAGGGAATTTCAATTTTTTAAATGTAAATATGTTTTAAAGACACCTAAACAGGTAACAGATGTAGCATGGGCTTTTACAGCCTTTGTTTGGGCCAGCAATTCACTTCAGTAATACAAAGAATCTCCACACAATATGGTTCAACTCTTAGAAGGTGAATTTTTTTCCTGAATAAATTCTAGTGATGAAACTGAAGCCAAGCAAAATCACCACCACTGATTAAGTTAAAGCTTGAAAAAATAAGGTATGCCCTCTCCTAATTTTGCTATATTTTCCAGCTCATTATGTATATAGCATGAACAAATTAACTATGCTGTTAAAAAAGCGTGGCTGCGGAAATTCAGAGTAACTGCTGAAATCCTTGCACTTATGATACATAATTATATGAATAATTATTTATGAGACAAATGGTATATATGGTATTATAGTTACCACAATTACATTTCTTTACATTCAATTGATAATTCTAAAGAAAAATAATATGACCAAGTGAATTTTGAAATAATTATAAGGGCAACAGTCTGTACCATTGTGTAACAAGGAAAGTGTTTGAAGCAGAAACAGCTAGATTCTCTGCCTGACTCACCATTAGCTGGACTTCAGCTTTGCTATGACTAACTTTATCTTTTTGTGCCTTGGTGTCCTTTTCCCTACAATTAGCCAGTTAGATCAGGTCAATTATTTTTTAAAAGAAGAGGAGTTGAGACCAGTCTGAATCAACTGAAGAACTTTTGCAAAACATTGCTGTGGGAGAATGTCTCCTATTACTTCTTTTTCTCCTCATCTCTTCCCAAAGTCACGCAGTGTGAGCCATTCTTGCCACTGAGAAGTATGTCATCTCTGAGAACAACTGACCCAGATAATTGCTCAGTAAGAGTATATTTGAGATTATTGAAGACTTAAAAGCATCTCATTATTAAATGTGCTATACCATGTTTTTCACTTTAGGCTCCAAGTGTTTTTGACTTGATAAAGTTTCATTGTGTTAATTTTGATCACCTTAATCTTTTATTGGATCATTTGCTCACATTAAATTTAAATAGGAAGAACATATGTACTGATGTTTTGCCATAAATTCCGTTGTGCCTCAACTGGCTTCCAACTTCAGTCTATTCTGGAAGGCTGTTCTTACAGGTCTCAGCCAGCAAGCTGAAACTGACAAAGGAGCGTTCCACTTCTCAGCTGTAAAGTTGTACTTACCTTGTTTTCATGAAACCAACCTCCGTTTCCAAGGAAACAAGAACAAAAAGGCAGTTGGCAGCTAGCATCTGGGACTTAGACTAACTCTCACATGTCAATTTCAACTGCTGGCTGCCGGCTCAAACCTAAAGATGTGGAGTATTAAAATCACCTTCAGACTTTTAACATACAAAAGAATATTAAGTTTTTTTCCTTAGTGTTTAAATAAAAGTTTAATAGCAAACAATTTAAAATATTCTTTGAAATACCATAATAAATTAAATATATTATAATTGTTAAAATAATCTAATACAAAAATTTAAGTTTTATTTGAAAACAGTAGGCACATATATTGCAGAGAAATTTTCTGTTTTACACCATAAAGTTTTACCACTTTCTCCTTTTTACTTAACTGCTTTACTTTATCCTTTTTCATTGATTCATATGCTCCCAACTCCTTACTTCTTTTTCTTTTTTTCTTTGATTCATACAAAATACCCAGATATTGTCTGTTTTATCCATAAAGCTTTGTGGCCATGTTTAGTGTTTTAACAAAGTGTTTTAACGATGAAACATGAAAATGCACATTGTAATTTTTCTCTCAAAATATAATTTCATGATTCTAGGCTTGGATACCCACATTAACACAATCTGTTTCTTCCAAATAGCACTTGTTTTTTTCACATGATTATGCACTTCAGAGTTCACGGCAGTCCTCATCATTCCATGCAGTCTCTAGGCCTTCTACTTCACAGCTTTTAGATACGTTTTGAGTTTTTAGACTCCTGCTAGAAGACAATCCTGATTGGTATGGAAGATTTGTGCAGGAATGGGATAAGATATTTTTTGCCTGGAAAGCAGAAACTTGTGAAAATTCTTTAGGCATTTAGATATTCCCAGGAAATGATGAATAATTGTTAAGAAAATGGAATTTCAAATTGATAATTATACTCTATCTTTTGTTACATTATTATATATTATCCTACTATTTAATTACCAGCTTTTTATATGTTATCTTACTATTTAATACCAACTTTAAGTTAAAAATGTAGGTCTTTTTTGAATTTCCCTCTTTTGACTGTTTTATCACTTTTACAGTATACTAATGTCCTTTGAAATCCAGGATACCTGTGAATAGATACTAGTGGGTGAAATATTACAAAAAATTGTACAGGATGTAATTTATCAGATTTGTGATGTGGACTTATTTATTACATTTTATTGGTACCCCATTCCATAATGGGCTATAAGGATAAATTTGTATAATTTTGGAAATTGTCTTCTTAGATGCCTGCAAATAAATATGCTTACTTTTCTACAAAATAGAAATATGATAGATAGTAAGATAATAAACTTAGGAAGGAACATTTTTATTGCAACTTAACCCTAATTTTTGTGTCCCCAAATCTGTACTTGTAAAAATCTTTTAATATATTTTTTTTGTTGGTACAACATTCCAGTAATTTACACTTTTCAATTGTAAATTCAGATAATGTTTAATGTTTTCACATTTTTGGGAGCAGGAATATAAGATGCTCATGATCAACATCTTTTGCTACTGTTAGAAAGTCAATTTAGGGGGACCGGGCGCGGTGGCTCACGCCTGTAATCCCAGCACTTTGGGAGGCCGAGGCGGCTGGATCACAAGGTCAAGAGATCGAGACCATACTGGTCAACATGGTGAAACCCCGTCTCTACTAAAACTACAAAAAATTAGCTGGACATGGTGGTGCGTGCCTGTAATCCCAGCTACTCAGGAGGCTGAGGCAGGAGAATTGCTTGAACCCAGGAGGCGGAGGTTGCGGTGAGCCGAGATCGCGCCATTGCACTCCAGCCTGGGTAGCATGAGTGAAACTCCATCTCAAAAAAAAAAAAAAAAAAAAAAAAGAAAGTCAACTTAGGGGAAAAAATCATGAGCACTTGCTTGAAGGCATAATAAAGACTGTTCAAGCAATAGTTGCAAATAATTGATAATAAGTGATAAAATTTATCTCCTAAGTTTGAGAAACCTCCAAAATTGAAAAATGTTGCAAACTTTACTTCAAAATACGTTCAAATTAAGAAATAAAACCAAACTCAACATGTTTTTAGATTTTTTAGTTAATATATCATTCATTTATCATAAAATTCACCATTTAAAAATGTAAAATTTTATGGTTTCAGATATTCACAATGCTGTACAACCATCACCACTAGCTGAAGGAATTTCTTTTGTCACCCTAAAAAGAAACCCCTTACTCATTTTCAGCCACTCTCCATTCCCTTCCTCCATTCTCTGGCAACAGTTTACTTATTTTCTTCCTCTATGTATTTGCCTATTCTGGATATTTCATGTAAAAAAAGAAATCATGTAGTATGTGACCTTTTGTATTTGGCTTTTGTCATTAAGCATGATATTTGCAAGGATCATCCATGTTGCAGCATTTAGTATATCAGTACTCTGTGCCTTCTTATGTTGCATAACATTCCATTGCATGAATATAATACATTATATTTATCCTTTTATCAGTTGATAGAATTTTCTGTTGTTTCTAATTTTTGGCTATTATGAATAATGTTGCTATGAACATTCATGTACATTTTGGTGAGAACATATGTTTTTGATTCTCTTGGGTATACACAAAGGATTGGATTGCTGGGCCATATGGTAAATTCAAAGTATTATTTTAATTGAAATAATATAAACAATGTTTTGCAATGTTGGAAATGGGACAGAATATAGAAGAGTATACAATTTGACCCGCAAAAGTTGCTTTTAAAAGCTTATCAATAACAACAAAACACAAGAAAACACCTGTCAAGTATAGTTGTTTGTAGAGTGATGCTTCTGTTTGTTTGTTTCTGTTTGCATTTTTGTTCCTATTTATATAATTAGATTTTAGTAACAAAGGATTTAGCATGATATATTACTCAGAAATCAGATGTGTTAATTTCATCTTAAGTTCTGAAAATATAAAAATGTAGGCTGAAAATATTTAGATAAATTAGAAGCAGAGATATTATGAAGCTTAGTAGTCATTAGACATTAGTATCTGAAGTCAAAAATCATAATTAACATGTAACATAAGAAGAAAATTATTTAATTTTAAGGACAGAAACCAAAGATACTATGTGTTCAGTAAGAAAACACTTCAAATTTTCTTCTGTTACTCATTGTCAACATATTCTGTTACTGTGAAAATGCTACAAATCTACTATTTCATTGAAATGGAAAATTTAGCTTAGTGTTTTTACTTATTTATTTTTCTGTAATAATAATATGTACCTGAGATTGGAGTTTCAGACTTCTTTCTCTCTCTCTTTCTCTGTCTCTCTCTGTCTCTCTCTCTCTCTCTCTCTGTGTGTGTGTATGGGTATGTTTTAAAGCATGAGTTTATACCTTAGAGCATATATATACACACACATATATGTATGTATATGCATGCATGTATTCGTTCTCTTTATAAATGCTAACATTTTCTTACATGAATATCTCTGTGCTGTGGTCACATTTACCTGTGTTCAGCAATTTGCTTCCTTTTTTACAAAAAAAAAAAATGTATATTTTTTTTACAAAAATCTGATTTAATTTAATTTTCTCCTCTTGAGAAGGGATGACAATAAAGTCACATCCAAAAAAACTTAATCCAACTGCTCTTTCTTGTTTTTTTAAAAAATTTTCATTCAAACATTTCCTATTATTACTTATTGAACAAAGCATGTATGAATCAAATAAGTTTAAAAGAAAATAATGGACTAGGCAAGGTGCTTTATTTTAAAAACAAAACAAAAAGAAAGTACATGGATTATCTGATGCTACATCACACTCTGTGAGAGACTGCCCTTCCTTCAGAGAGCCTCTCATTTCTTAATGTTGATCATTTTGCTCGTCTTCCCTGACAATGCTCACTTACTCTCTTTCAGTCTCTCTCTCTTTCACTTGTTCTTTTCTTTCCAATTACCCAATGACCCATCAAGGTACTTTGAGGCTCAATACTTTCTCTATGGTTCAACTCAGATCATGTAGTCTTTCTCATTCAACCAATTCAACTACTATGTCCTGAGACCCCACTATCCTTGACCATGTAAAGAGTTCCTGGACACACAAAAAAAGGTAGGATACTCCAGAAGTGCAAAATGAGACATCATTTTTGCTTTCTTGCAAATATAATTTGCATATATACCTCAAATGGGGAAAGGTAAGGATATGAGATAATATCTATTTATAAAGACAAGAAAGTAAGATATACAAACTGGACTAGGGCAAGACAATTTCAAGGAAGGAGGATAAAATAGGATAAGTAAGTAATGGAGGGGTGACTATCCTACTATTTCTGAAAGTATATCCAAGGAGTGGTCCGATTTTACGAAATGTTATAAACTAATGCCATACTTAGTGGATAAGGTACCAAAACTCCCCAAACTTAGATCAAATAAGGTTACTGCAATGCACAGTAAGAAAACATCTAATTTGAGTTACACCATTATAAAATGCAAGACACTCTGACAGGAAAAAAATGTTCCAATAAGATCACAGATAAGTTGTTAACAAAATGTTTGAGTAGTAGATACCCCAAATGATGATATAGATTTAGCTTTGGCCTATATATTTTATATAAATCAAGTTTTGGAGGTCTGAAAGTTAAATGCCTTATTCAGAGTCACACAGTGTATTAAAACACAGTAAAAGCTAGAACTCCGGTATTAACTCTTACCTTTTGAATGTAGATGTTCCCCCACGCTGTAGTGCATGGATGACGCTTGTAGCTTGTACATGGTACAATGGAATATACCACTTGGGAGATTGTTAGAGAGACATGAATGCAATAATAGAAGTAGCACTGAGGTCAGGATTTCCTACTGTGAAACCTTAAACAAAGGCCACTATTATATAACACAAATGTACTTATATAAGCTTAATAATATATCATGCTGTTTGTTGATTGTTTTCTATGCTCCAGGCATTAAATGAAAGTACAATATATATTTTTTCACATTCAGTTTGTTGGAAACTGTGCTTAACTGAGTAAAGTCACTTATCCTTTTTATATATCTGTTTTCTTAATTTTAATACATAAAAATTTCTCAACAGATTTTCTGAAGAAAGAAACAATACCAAAACTGTGTATTTATTCATTTTAAATTACAATAGACACATAAAAATATAAATCTTAGACAAAACATAACAATGACATATACAGTTATACTGCACAGTATTTTCATATATATATATAACATTTGCTTCTTAGATTATTCATTTACTTTGAGAGAAAGCCATCAAGAAGATAAGATATTATTGGTGATGTGTGGTCAATATTAAATTTAATGCAATGTGTTTTTTCCGTGGTTTTAATTCAGCCACATTCTGTGTCTGTCATGTCTCTACATTATACAGTGAACTAATGAACCCTTAGTAATTATATAAGAGAGAGCAGAGGAAATTTCTACCAAAAAAAAACAATTCTTACAAAATGCTTAGTTATATTATCGCGGCATAATTAACTTTTGAGTGAAAACAATTTTTTGAAATTCAGAAATACCTCTGTAATTCCATTTTATGTGTTAGCTTCAATTATAAATCTCACCAAATCTGTAGTCTCAGTAATGCAAAATTATAAAATTGACTGATTTGAGCCATACCTATATTCTTCTCCTGCCCATCAGATGTTGAAGGTGCTAATGAACTGTGAAATGGCCAAAGGCAAAGAGCCAGAGGAAAGAAAGTGAAGAAGCCACAGACATGGGTCACCACAAAATGAGTAATTAGCCATTGAATCACGAGGAATTTAATTATGTTAAGACTCTG